TATGTGTCTTAGATTCAAATATTAAAAGCAGACAAAGAAAACCTGATTAAGTCTAAAAAGCAGACCTAGTTAAAAAAAAAAAAAAAAAAAAGCAAAAATAGGTTCCATTGAAACCGGAATTAAGTGTGAGTAATCAAATTTTTTTAAAAGGTATGTTTAGTTTCACTAACCGCACCCAAGACTAATTACTGTCAGAGTAGTAGAATCAATTAAATCCTGAAATACATCCAGTCTGACAACAACGTGATTAAGGTGGAAACGAGCTGAAAAACCAACACATAATGCCTTAAACAAAAGAAAAATGTCCAACACATTTGTCAGTCTTGGGAGATCAACAAAGCCATGTCTGGGGCTTTGGGACTCTTCTGAATTACAGCGAGAGCGAGATGGTTATCAATTTTTAGAAATTCATATGATGTGAATTTCTGGAATTTTCTTTGGGATTCTGTCTCTCACTGTTAGAATGTACATATGATTAAAATTGTAGATTATTGGGCAAACCTGCAAAATCAGCAAGGGGTCAAATACTTATTTCCCCCACTGTAGGTCAGTGTTTATTATAACGCAAAAATAAAAAGAGACTATGTGCACAAAAATGGCCACCATTGGAGCACTCAGAGGCCAAAACCAATGCACAAAAAAAGAACATAAAGACCTGCATCACAGACTTCTGGGAAAATATTCTGTGGTCTGTTAAGATAGAACAGGCTTTAGTGACAGTAAATGATGCTGGTGAAGGTGTGATTACCGGTTATATGGCAAAAACATCTGGAATTCACAGGAGTTTAAGCCTATTTAGGGCAGTGGTGTCCAAACCTTTTGTCATCATTGCCAAAAATGTCAAAGTGTCAGATGTGGCTGAAGGTTTTGTTTTTAACAGTAAAATCGACACTTTTTTTACTCTAAAAAATTTACACCCAATTATCACCCAATACTTAAGATTTCTCTAAAAATGATAAGACATTTGTAAATACTTGTAGATTTCAAACATAAAAGTCTTGCAGGTTTTTCTGATTTTAAAGAGAAAAACTACCAAACAATCAATTTTTTGATTGTTTGGTGTTTTTTCTATATTAAAGGTTAATTTTTATGTAGTTTCTCGGGACAGCCATGCTTTATTATAGCAGGTTTTATAATAGAGTAACCTTTCTAAAACATTTATTTAAGCGACTATACTTTTACTTGATTGAGTTTTTTTTTTTTACTCTTTCCACCTCGCATAGCAGCAAGTACTGTACAGGAGCATGTTATTTTTAAGGTTGCCTTTTTAATATCTGGCTGGGGGACTACCGATGAAAATTAGCACTCCTTAGCTAACTCGATTATATTTACATTGTTTTAATGTTGATTAATGTACACTGTCCCCTTTCAAATAAACAATAAATGAAATGAAATGTTTATGTTTATTACTTAAGTAGAAGTATACATCATAATGTTTAAAAACACTTTTGTAAAAGTTAGTATCACTTTAAGCTTTTTACTCAAGCAAAAGTGTAAAAGTACAAGTTTTAAAACCACATAAAGTATAAAAGTAAAAGTAATGCAGGAATAAAATGTTAAGGACAAAAGCATTGAATCTCATACTGCACTACCCTATAAAAGGAAGTTTTCTACAAGTCTGGATGATAACTTCCTTATAATTCATTTTCTTAGTTTTATATCTAATGCAACAATGTAAAATGTAATTTTGCATCATCTTGAAAAACTGTTTTAAGTGGCAAACAACAAGTTGTTCCAGTACCAAGTCCACCCACATAGAAATTAATTATCTGGATTTAATAAATTATCTTCATGTTGGTTTTTTTAATACCTACAGGTCATAAAGAAATGGATATTAAATGGGGAAAAAAAGTTGTGGGTAAAAAGTTGTCTAAGAAATAATTATTACAGTGAATCATAGATAGCCAAAAGTATTTGTACTTTGTTACTTGGTACAGCATTAATTTGGCACTGTTACATGTCAATCATCTGGGGTCAGATTTTAGGAGGTCCAGTGCTCCAGTTGTTCTGTAAAATTTGCTAAATCTTGTCTGTTTTCCTATTTGTAGTTAAATAAAACAAAGCAAAACATTTCTGATAAAAGCTGAGTAGAATCCTATATATTTTCATTTAGAAATGTTTTAACTTTGTTGTATCATTTTTAAAAGGAAACATTGCACCCAAGTGTTTTTCAAATGTGTTTAAGCATTACTGATAAACCTAGTTTAAGCCATTTTTTAACTGTGATCGAGGGCCACCTAAGCATCCTTTAAGGGTCGCAAATGGCCCCTTGGCCACACATTGGACACCCCTGATTTATGGTATGCTGCTGAATGAACTGATTCAAAGCAAACCAGCTAATCCACAATTAATTACACAAAAAAGATAACATGAAGGTTTAGCAGTAATCTTCCAATCTTAATTCCAGTTTGGATACTGCTGCATGGCTTTAAACAGACTGTTCATTCTCAAAAATCCTCCTTTGTACTTTAATAATTAAGACATCTTTTTAAAACACTTTTTTTTAATCAGGTTATCTTTGTCTGAAATAAATATTGGTTTTATCATCTTAAACCTTTAAACTATGTACAATGGAGCAACAATTTATTCTCTAAATTCATTGATGACTTTTCATCTTGGCAATGTGTAAAAACCTGTCTATATGCTCCAGATCTGCAATTTTTCAGGAAAAAAGGGCTAAAAACCAAGAAGTAAAGAAATGCTTGCTGCGCTGTTTTTCTACTATGAATGCATTGGAAGATCTAATTTTGACTGGTTTTAGGACACTTTTCTACATGTTTCCAATGTTGTAACCAGAGTTTGGCATTAAAAATGAATTAATTAAGGATCAACCAAAACAGAAAAAAAGGGAAATTTGCTTTTTGTCTAGAAAAAATGTCACTAAGAAAATCTGAAATGCAGATAGTATTTAATGGTTGTTAAGGTTTGCCCCCATATAGAAAGCAGCAGTATCCGGATCAGAGCAGCAGAGAGAAGCAGCCTTCTGTCTCCCTCCATTACCGACTGTTGTGTGTTGTCCTTGCTGACCTTAGCTGCAGCGTTGCTAAGTTGAGTTAAACTTTGCCTCCCACCACAGACAGAGACAGCCTGTCCCCTTCCCCTCACAGCTGTGTGGCCTGAATGCTGGAAATAGCTGCTGGCCTGCAGAGCAGAAGCCATGGATGTTTAACAGTGGCTAATGTTGGCATTGTGCTGCTGTGAATCGGATGGCTGGGATTCATTAAGGAGAAGCAACCATTATTTACTGCAAAGTAAAAACATGCTGCTTAAAGTTAATTTTCAAAAGGAATTCTGAGGGTTTAGTTCAGCATTAAAACAAACATGAATCATAAAAAAAATAATCACAATATCAAGAAAGTCCTTTTTTCTTGATGTATCTTCCTACATATTTCTGTCCATTTAAGGTTTAATCAAACTGATTTCCTCGAAAACTTATGCTTTATATCATTATTGGAGTTAAAAAGTCAGGCAGACAGGTATAACCTCAGACCATCAACAGTTACCATGATACTAGCAATGTGCCATGATTAAAGTAAAAAAAAAAATCACCTTTCTTTCAGATTCTGATGCTCAGCTTGAACCTCAACAAGACGCTTTGACCACATCTAGATGAGTTACTGCCAGGTGATTGTCTTTTTTACACCTTATTTTAAAGCAATAATTCAGCTAATAAGCATGATGGAGTGAGATTACACATATTCAACATATTTGACCGACTGATAAAGCTTATTTCTCAGATTAAAAATAACATGTTTGAAAATAAATCCTACAGGTGTCCTACAGGTACAAACTGGAGCTTTTAGGAGTGGGACCAATGTGTCCCAGTATGTGAGAACATCAGGCTGCACGTGCAACAGGCTGGTCTGCAGCATGGAAACTGCACTGGCAGCCTTCCTGCTCACTCTACACTCTCTCACTACCAACCTCTGTTCATAGATCAACTTCATCACATGTGAGGAAGACTCAAGAGTGCAGACAGTGGATGCAGAGTTTTGTAAACTGGAACAAGCATAAGTATCTCCTGATCAATGGAGGGAAAACTCAAGGAACTGGTGGTGAATGTAGGACCACCTCACTGATGTTAAAGTAGGGGAATCATATGTTCTTGAATGTAGGCTTAATAATAAACAGGAGTTTATTATTAGTGATGCTTTTTACAAGAGTAGGAGACTGGGATATTTCAGAGCACATGAAGTTTTATAACTCTATGGTGGCATCTTCACATCCTCTATTATGTCTGTTGAAGCTCTAGCTTAACTGCAGCTGAAAGGGAAGTGGTTTGATAAGCTCATTAGGGGGACTGGCTCTGTCCTAGGATGCCCTCTCAGTCTAGTTGAGGTGGTGAGAGACAGAAATACTAAGAAAAATAGCATCACCCTATGTATGAAACTGTTTTAGAACTGGAGAGCTCCTTTAGTGATACTAAATCCTAGGTGGACAAAGGAGCTTTACTGCAGATCCTTCCGCCCAGCAGCTGTTATGACTGTATTACCACCAAAGCTCCCAAGAAACAACTTCTTTCCATACATGCTGTTATTTTCATATTCTTAAAAAGGTTGTTCTTTATGCAAAAAGTTTTTTGTTACATTTCACTCCTTTCATATCTTCTAACTGTAGTTTAAACATATTTTGTTTTAAATGTATAGTTTTATAATTATATCTCAGAATCTTTTTTTAAATTCTTTTTGCAGTTACATCATTTCCCTGTGGGTAGACCAGCATTTCTCCACTGAGGGGCAATAAAGGGTGATTTATATTATATTTCTGTGGGAAACCCTCTTTTTTTTTATTGGTTTAATGTAATATTGAAAAAATTTTATCTTTTCATTGGATGCAAATAGAAAATCAACAGAAACAAGAATGAAAAGTAATGCTATCTGTATATTAAGTGCAATACGAATTGAGTTATAAAATCTTTTCAATATACAAATTTTTATGATAAACAATGTGACCATGCAGTGTGTGGTTTGTGGACAGATCAAAACAGTACCAGAAGAAAATACTTTTTACACTTTATTGTATATTTATATATATATTTATATATATAAAACTACAAAAGTAAGACCGTTTTCAGTCCATAAACAGCTATCAAGCTGAGCATTTTATTTTCTACAGACCCGACGATAAAGTGATCAGAGAATAACTTCTCTCTCTGTTTGTTTTGTTGCATAGAAAAAGGCACAGCTCTGAGGTCTGTAAAATACAGCCTTTGTTGAGGGAATCGGCCTCGACTGCGGTCCGTCCATGTGTGCCACCGCACGCTCGGATGCATTAAAACCGGTTTGTTGACAAACACTGATTGAAAAGTCTTAGGGAGACTGAATGTTGGTCATACTATGTACATTACTTTTGGCATAAAAGCATCCATGACAGGCTTTGGAGTCTTGACATCTGTAGGCTTGAGACCGTTTTCTTATATATTGCTGCGTGAACATTATAATGAACTGTTTGCCATCAACCGGACATTATGAACAAAAAAAAAAAGGAGTAAAAAATATATAAAAAGTCGTGGCCACCCCCCAGGAAAAAAACAAATCCAGAACAACACAACAAACCAACAGATTAAACAAGATAATAGAACCCATGTATATAAAAATGGCTTCCACCCAGTTCTTCACGCTCTGATACATTCCTATCTAAAGTACATTCCTAGCACACATTCTGTACACACATTTACAATCCATGTGTCCACTTCACATCAAAAATAAATATATTTACACAGAAAAGACAAAACAACCCCAAGACGAATAAATAATTTCAATGGAAATAAAAAAAAAAGCACTCCAAAAATTAAAACACACTGAAAGAAAGAAGACACAGTCGTCTGCAAACAGTATCAATGGTGCTTGACTCACAATCTGCTTTTAGCAAATATTCTACCAGGGGACCAGATTTCACACTGCCCTGCATTACTGAAGAGATACACATTTGACTAGTTTTATATATCCAGTGGAAAGTTGTTGTTTTTTTAATGTTGGTTAATAAATCAACTTCTTCAAAGTTCTGTGTACATCGCTCTGATTGGCACAATTCCCTTACATGGTACAGCTCAGATTAGCTGTTTAAGGTAATTAGGACTAAAATGTCTGCATATTCTTACGCTTTGTTTAAATACAAAGCTGGTATAGTAACCCTTCATACTCAGAGGTGTTGGTGGCTGCAGTTAATGGCCGGGGGTTCTCAAAAGCTATGGATTTTTTTTTCATCAGTACCTTCTCTTTTCTGGATGCTATCATTAGCACAGAATTTAGCGCAAAAGCCTGTTGATATTTAAATGGTTATTTCTGGTTATTAGCTTATGGGGGGGTTAAATACATACATAAAATTTGACTGACAGCACATTTATAAAATGCAGAATTCTGTACATAAACATGATATTCCAATACAAATAAAAATTATTCGATGGGAAACAGTTTAATTGCGACAGGGAAGCAGGAATTTTAGATTGCATTCCTTATATATCGTCAATAGAGAGCTGTAATTTCAGGTCCTGACCCTGATCTGACCCAGAAGATTCAATACAACTTTTACTGTTTATACTTAGCCTTAAAATGCAAATGATTAAATCGTGGTTAACTTGCTTCACACGACATCCTTCACATCTCACAGCGAGGAAACAAGCAAACCAACAGCTGGTCAACTGCTGTTTCTGCAAAATGCCCAATCTCTAATCTGCCTCTGGCACCAATCAAGCCCAACGTGCCCTGCAACAATTGAGAAAATGCCCATAATAGATGTAAATGGCAGGTCTGAAAAGGGGCCACAGAGCTTTTTTTTTTGGCGGATCTTGGATGTGTCGTAAGCTTTTGTAAAGGTTTCCCTAACTGGAGAACCCCCCAGGTTGCACTGTATCATTCTGTTCCACGTAAAGGAAAAGTGCCAGAAGTTTTCAGAAATGTTGCTTCTTACATGTTGCAGAAAACATGGAATTACAACATAAAAGCTCACATACTGATTTTTGTTATGTGATGTGCTGTTTGTAGTGATAGAGATTAAGGTCAGAAAAAATGGTTCTGTGTTGTTTAATGCACCACAGTCTGCTGCATGGTTGTAGCATTGGGTTAACACTGTGGTTTTGGTTTCCCACTTCAGGGGAAATCTGAATTGATTTTTTTTTTGATGTGGCAGATTTATCCATCTCGCTATTGGATGTTTTCGAGAAAACAATATTTATCAATGCATAAATTAAAGGAGCAGGATTACTCTATAACTAATGAGTGTAAACATACTCCATCGAACCGGGGAGTGCGAGTAATACTGTAAGCCCCGGTGTTATACATTGATCAGTATTTTACCAAATTGCAAAAATGTGTTTTCTGCCCCTGAAAATGGATTAACTCCATCTGACTTCATTGCATTTAGCCATTTTCTTGGGTCGTTTTCAGATCATCTACGACCAACAGAGACAGTGGAGCAGGCTGTGTTTCCTTCTTATGTAAACACGCTTACCAGTGGGTGCAGTTCATTTGAATACCTCTGCAACTGGATCGTGATAACTGGCTGATATAACCAAGCTCATGTAAAACAACAACCAGCAGTTATATGCGACTGCCAATAAGGTGGAGAGACAGGCAGAGGTTCATGGGTAGGGGGCGAAAAAAAAAAAAGGAAAGTCTTGCATTGAATTGTAGACATATGTACACAAACGGACACTCCCTTCCAGCAAAAGAAGTTCAAACAACCTGGTAATGTGTTTTAGAGCTACTCCTAAAAGCATTATTGTATAGCCAGGCTAATATGTAAAACTATGGGGGTCCAAATGTGCCAAAATGTAATAAACAAACGACTACAAAAACAATTACACATCAACCTTACCCATAAAAAAGAGGGGCTAACAGCACTTTTTGGTCCATATTGGTCTGAATTACATGTGCTGCACAAGCTAGCAAGGCACAGTGACTTACATAATACAAAAATAATCATGAATGACTGCAACCATATAATTAATTCCATATTCAATAAATAACTGCCCAATTTCATAGAAAAAAATTAAGTTAACTATTAATTATCTATCAATTAATTTGGATTTCAGTTTAAATAACTATTTACTTGGCTATTTATTTATTACATTGTGTCACTTTTGGTACCCCATATTAACTGATTAAACAATGTGTTCCTTTTTAAATGCTTCACAATTTAAAACATTTTATCTGTAATAAGATAAAGGTTAAATAATCATCATTTGATCATGTATAATTACCTTAAAAGTTTTTTTAATACAATATAATAAATTAAATACGAACATTGAGTGACCTCAGTGGGCTGTTAAAGTGAGAAGAGTGGATAAAAAATACTGTAAAAAGAGGAACTAAAGTGGTCATTTGAAAGGCACTCAGCTGCTAAAAGTCATAATTACAGTGTGTGTGTAAATGTTCGTTTTGTATTTCTGTACCTGTGAGGAGTGCATATCCCCACATGGATTTAAAATAAAAATATTTACAGTTACTCTTCAGGTTAAGGCTTAGCTTTAGGTAAAGGATTAGAAGGAGGGAATGAGGGAATTGATCAAGATCCTCACAAGTATAGATATACAAAATATGTGTATGCTTTGTTTCCTCGTTACTTCACTTCCACACCTACAAAGGCGAGCACAGTGCATGAACAGTGTTGTGTAGAAGTAGTAGTTGTCATAGTAGTACTTATTGACATCACCTTCGATGTTTACAATTACCGACCATAGAAGAAAGTCTTTTAAAGAGATAAAAAGAGAAGAAAAAGAAAAAAAAGATCCCAAATTTTCCATCCAGTCAGTTCTCCAGATATTTTAAAAAGTTTCAGAGGTGGCAGAGGGGCGTCGCTGAAATCACGATCCCACCAACACCTCCATGATGTGGTCTAGTTCTGTCAGATCAATTTTAAAAGGCTGATTGGCTGAAACCTGGGGGGCGGAGCCGCTGTATGGAGACGCCAGCGTTTTGAGGAGGTCGTCTGTGTTCACCATGGGTGAAAGCTTGGCGAGGCCGTTGCTGCCGCCGCCCCCCGTCGTGGTGCCCACAGCCCCTGCTGTGGTGCAGGGGTCGAAGTCATACATAGACGTGTCGATATCAGCGAACAGGACGTCGTCCAGCGCCAAGTCCGAGAGAAACCCCGAGGGGGAAGAAGAAGAAGATGGAGGAGAAGAAGGCGAGGGGGACATGTCTTCCAGGCTACCAGGGGAATGTGTGGGCAGAGCGTCTGTATGTCGGAGTTCAGCACAGCGGCTCTCCACCAGGAAAACAGCAGCTGCCTCTGGTTTAGCACCCACTGTCCTGCAGTCTCTGGTTGAGCCTGTAGGGGCAGAGAATGGGGACTGTGTGGTTGAGGTGGGGGAGGTAGTTATGGTCAGAGTATTAGCTGCTGCCGTCCTTGTAATGGCTGTGGGAGGACCCAGCTCCATGTAACTAGGAGTGGACGAGAAACTGTCATTTGATAAGTCAGGCACAGGAACACTAGAGGACACCTGGCTCATTAGTGCTGAAGATGGGGGCAACAGGGGCGGAGACAGAGGAGGAGTGGGTGGGGATGGGGCACAGAAAGCTGAATCCCCACCATCCTCTTCCAGCAGAGAGGCTGGAGTGAGGCAGGCCTCCAGAGGGGCGGGGCAGGCCTCCACTCGCTGGGACGCCTGGCAGTTGGGAGGCACCATGGGATGAGGCGAAGGCGGCGGAGGAATCCCCTGCATCAACAGTGTAGACGGCTGGGAAACCTGCGCCGCTGCAGACAGGATGCCAAAAGATGGCGGTGCCTCGCGAAATCCCTCATCCATGGGGTCGTCGGGCGGTGGCGAAGGCGGGAGGAACAGCGGCCGCAGGGAGCCCTCCTGCTTGAGTTCGTCTTGGATGCGTCGGAGCATGTTGTTGATGAGGACACGGCGCTCCAGGCTCGGTTCACCAAGGGGACGCTGGCTGTAGAGCTTCATCAGGGAGATGTTGAAGATGGTCTGTCTCTGCAGGGTGTAGGACACCTTAGAAAGACCCTCCAGAGCACAGCCTATCCCCCCTCCCGCCACCGACGCCTCCAGCGTTTTGCCTTCCAGGCCCTCTTCATCCTCTTCCAACTTTCGCTTCGCACCTTTACAGAACATATATCTGGAAAACAGAAAGAAGAGGGAGAGAGAGGAAACATTAACTTAGCCTTCATGTTAGAAATCTCTTGGTATCTCACTGGTGTGAACAGAAGCACGCTTTCAGTTCTGGCCAATCAAAGTTATTACTAATCAACCCTGTATTGAGGGGTTGTTTTCATTTGTTTATTAGATGATAAGTGCTGAAAAACTGTAACATTAACAGTAAAAAGTCTAAAAAATGATCCAATAGGAATATTAAATTTACTTTGTCTAAACATGCTAACCTTTTAGCTCTATGCTGTTTTAAATTATCATAAAAAAGGCAATTACTAGGGTTTAGGGCTGCAGTTATTGATTATTTAGATTAATAGATTATTCTTAAATATTCGTACAGTAAATTAACATGTTTAAATAAATGAAACATTTGAAATATATAGAAAAAAAATTTAATTTTAAGTTAATTGTAAATAGCAAAACACTAAAATATACATGTTTTAATTTAAATATCTAACTATTTTAAAAATATTTTCAAATTTTATAATTCAAAGATGTTTACTGTTTATATTTTTAGAGTTTAGCCATCACTCCTGCTGTCAGCAAGTTCATCTTTAAGCAGATGGCATGTTTAAGATGTTTTAGAGTCATTGTACAATTTCTCTAGGTAACAATTTACCAAATTAGTTGCTGACTAGTTAAATAACCGATTAATCAGTTTATTTGATTACCAAACATTCTGATATTCAGTAAGTGGTTGATGTAAAAAAAAAGGAAATTAGTCTGTGTGTTTTATCAATGTTTTGAGGTTTTTTAAAGGTACTTATTAGTCCTCTCTTCTTGTTCCACCCTGGGCAACTGCTCCCATTTTTTTTTTAAGCTGCTCCTGCTGTTTCACAGCTGAAATGCACAAAAGGTATAAAAATCACTTCTGTAACGTGAGGAGTTCACGCAGATAGCTATGTTTGAGGAAGCAGGATGCTACAAAAAAAAAAATACATAAAGTATGAGCAGCTTCAGAGGGAACCTCACCACTGCACAACACACCTTTAAACACACGCATAAACATACTAAGTTATGCAATAGCAGCGATCCCTGCTGTAGCAAAGGATCAAAGGCCAGTTTTAAAGTCCAGCCTTCCTTCACCCTTTTTTCGTGAGATTAGAGAAGCATAACAACTTGCTGAGTGGGGCTAAAGCTGGTTGGTGGGGGGTGGGTAGAGGTACAGCAAGGAGGGAGCAAACGTATTCTAATAATTTGGGCGTAGGAACGGGAGAAAGTGAAGAAAGAAGGAGCTGCTGCAGCGTGTTTGACTTTAATCCAGGCTGACAGGCGCATGCAGCCAGTCGCTCTCTACCCTCTGATTCACAGCGCATGCGTCTCTTCACTCACACACACACTCGCACTCAGGAAGTGTAAGCTGCAGGCCCAGTTACCACGACACGTTGGTTGCCATGACAAACAGAGTCAGCTGGGAATTCACCCAAAGAACTGACAATGAGCGGGACAGGGTGGGGTGGAGGGAGGCAGACGAGCAGAGGAGGAAGATGAGGAGTGGGTGGAGGAAAAGCGTAAAGCGGAAGCAGAGGAGTAGGTAAGAGCCTGACCTAGGAAGGTAGGAGGGAAATGAGCGCTCCATCCAGTGGCTCTACAATCAGTAATGCACATAAAACCCCAATTAAATCCTCCATTGGGCTATAAACATCAGTCTGTTCCGAGTTAAGCAGAAAAATGAGGATCAAAATCTCTAATTGACGATCGAACAATCATCACAATAGCCTTTTCTTCCACAGTCAACTTAATTAGGCATTTTGTTGCCAGAGATATAAAATAAAACATATATTAATCACACACATTTCCACATGTTATTCTTACATTTCCAACAAACTTCCAAATTAATCTTAATAAAATAAAACAAAACACAACACCTGATTAAAAAGTAATGCTTAGCAAAATTCCCAAAATATTATTTTACTCCTAAACTGAAGGCAAGAGACCTTTATAAGTCTAGGTGCTATTCCTGCTCCTTAAACTAGCAGAGATAAAATAGCTTACATGACAATTAAAAAAGTACAATTTTATTAATACAGAATCTACAGTAAGAAATGTTTTTAATGCATCACTAAAACTACACAAGTTTTTTTTGTGTGTTTTATAAACCTTCCAAAATGGAACATTCAAATTATATAGGAAAAACATGAGTAATGTGACAAAATATGACATAGAAAGAACATAGCTCACCTAATAGTGTCATTCTGTGTGAACATATTTAATATATAACATTTAAAACACACTGTCTTGTTCCCTATTATTATATCTATCTTATTTATTCCACCTGTTCAGGTTACACTTAAATTCAGAGGAAAGTTCCCCTAATAAGGCTCGGGCACAGCGCGTTGCATTCTGGGTACGCCGCCATATTGGCAGCTAGTTGCTACGGTAAAGAAAGACCTAAAACAGCACCGAGAAAGAGCACAAAGACGAGTAAACAGCGATGTTAAAAGCGAAGAAAGGATGCGGAATATACCGAGACACACTGCAGAGGGAAGCCAGGGACCGTTATCTGCAAAAGATGGGCTTCATAAACGGACTTGATCCCTACGAAGTAGAAAGCAAGGAGTGGTGCGTTGGGGAAGAATTTCTACCGCCGTTTGCGAGGGAGGACATATTTTCGTATCTAGTGTGTGGCGTCAGTGCCTACACACATGAAGAGTTTCGCTGCTACAAGTCGCTAGAGGCTTACAAACAGCTGACAGATGGAAAAGTTCATGACATGGAAGTAATCAAACCGAATGAGAACACAGTCATCAGAGCCAAGGTAAGTATGTTCTGTAACTTACCAGAATGAAAATGCCGGGAACACACTCTCATGGACACTGGGATTGAGTTGAAAGTTATATTTGGCCGTCTTACAGCAGCGACCCATGCTAGCCGGCGACTCTTTGTTATGGAGGACATTTGTTTTCCATTGAGACACCTCCAGGTTGGAAAACGGTAAAAAGACAATCCATTTGGGATTTTTTTCCCCGTCCAGTCACAGCTTGCGCTACTACACCCTACGACACAGCAACGGGTGACCATAACGACAGCAGAGGTAAAATGAAACGGCAAAAAACTAAGCAAACTACTAGCAGAAGAAAGCTAGTCCTTACAGGCGCGAAGTCAAAGTGTAAACAATGGGCTGACCAGCTTTCAATATGGCTGCCGCGCAACGTGTGACGTCATGTGCCCGAGCCTTATATACAGTGTTGGCATATATAGTCATTAAATCCTATATTTTTCCAGAATATGATTTTAACTATATCTACATTTTTCATTCTTCACAACAAAACACTGAAGACATGGAAATGTACACACACAGCCACCAGAATGTTTGTCTGGTTCAAGAATGTTGTAAATACAACTTCCAGCGATTGTTTGTTTTAGGCTTTAAATCCTTGTTTTCACCCATGAGTTCACTCATTTTGTACCTATGGGTTTTGTTCCAGTGTAAATGAAAAAGTATTTTTTGTTATAATCATGTTTTGTGTCTGTAACAATTTTTTTCTGATCGATTATTGAGAAACAATGACATGTTGCTGCCTGTGATCTGTCACATTCTCTTTCTATTTCTGTTTGATCAGTTCAGTTTTATTTTAGTCACCAGAACAAAACCAAAACATTTCTTAATGCAGTACAATGCATGCCATTTGTATATATGGACACCGACTGAAAGGGTTTAGATAGAAGTAGTGTTGCGCTGATACCAACTACCTGTCTGTGCAGCATCGGCCGATACCATATCGATTCCATCGGTTGGAAATTGATGTGTGTGTTTGTATATATGAAGAACTGCATCCTACCTGGATGTAAAATAATTGCCATCATGGCTTTGTCAAGCTGCTGCCTACCTTTGCGATGCAGGAAAAACACTAATACAAAGTGAATCTAGTAGAACTTTTTATTGCCTACGTTGAATTGGTGACAATAGTTGAATAAACTTTTGACTCTCAAAATGGTATCGGTGCCCTATTTGATCCCACCATTTTAGTGCAGCATCTGGGCCCTATCTTATGCTGGTATCGGTGCAACATTAGATAGAAGTAAACGTTAAAAAAGCCCATCCCTTTTCCTTTTCTTCTGAATAAACACCATATACTTTCTTGTAGCAAGCAAGTAAAGACATGGAGAGAAGCAAAAATGCTTAGAGGCTACAGATGAGAGAGGAAAAAATTAACCAAGCGATATCTCTTTTTACTAATTACTAGGGTTACAACTAAAGATTATTTAGCAAATTGATTAATCTGTCGATTTTTTTTTTTTTTTTATAATTGGACAACCAAAAGGTCCTTGAAGATTTGTTACGAAATCACACCATGTGAAACTCAAATTTTTCTACTTGAGGAGTTCTTGATAGAGCATATTGACATTTTGTTTCCATTTCTCAATTATTTTTTTTACATTTTCCAGGTCCCATGAATATTCTATCTGTACTGTTGCAATTTTTTCCAGATAATAATTCTTCTTACTTGTTCTTATAACACTTGTCTGTTTATTTTTTATGTTTTATATCTGTATTAAGTCTCTTGAGTTCTATATTTAACATATACTTTTGGAAGGTGGTCCTTCTTTTTAAATGTATTTTGTATGACCTAAGTGATCCATAGTTTGTTTTGTGTTCATTTTATGTTAAGATTTCTCTTTTTGGGCAATACTTTTAAGGAGATTAGACAAAAAGATGCTAAATGCTATATCTGGGTCAGTAGTGGTATTGACGTTGTCTCACAGCTGTGCAGACAGGCCCTTTTTAAAGCCAGCCATGCCTTCAGGTGTTCTACATCTGATTATTTTATGGTTTACTGTTTTAAATTTGGTAAGAGTTGAGGAAAAATACCAAAAAACATAATATTGTCACATCATTTATAAGTAATCCTGCTGTAATTTGACAATCTAATGCATTCATAAAAATATTATCTATTACTGTACAGGATTCAACTGTAAGCCTACTTGATGGTCTTTTTGGGGCCAGTCGAGTCTTACAAAACATGA